TTCTTTCTTTCTTTCTTTCTTTCTTTCTTTCTTTCTTTCTTTCTTTCCTTCTTTCTTTCTTTTCGTTCTTTCTTTCACATTTATATCATTAAAAGTTTTACTTTGATATTTTGATTTTGCTGGCAATCAGAAAAGATTCAGATCCTAAATTATGAATGGCTTTCTTTCTTTCTTTTTTGCCAGTACCTAAGGGGTGGAACATCTATGTAACCTCAGTAGATTTCTTATTTGCAGAATTAGAAATGGTCAGATACTCTTTCCTTCTTTTTTTTTTTCAAATTGCTTTTGAATTTGTATAGTGCACGAGTGTCAAACTCACTGCATCACGTTGCCATCATATGACGTTTCATGACGTTTTTTGCATTTGCAGAGCTGGGAGGGGCGTGGCCTGCAGGTGATGCATCCGGCCCATGGGCCGCCAGTTTGACACCCCTGGTCTAGTGAGTTCATTCCTGTGCTTATGAGTACAGGTAGTCCTCAACTTACAACAGTTAATTTAGTGATTGTTCAGAATTACAGCAGCACTGAAAAAGTGACTTATGACCATTTTTCACACTTTGACCATTGCAGCATCCCCATGGTCATGTGATTTACATGCAGATGCTTGACAACTGATTCATATTTATGACTGTTGCAGTGTCCCAGGAGTATGTGATCATCTTTTGTAACATTCTGACAAGGGAAGTCAATGGGGAAGCCAGATTTACTTAACAACCATGTTACTAATCTAACAACTGCAGTGATTCAATTAATCAAAACTCACTTAATGACAAAAAGACAACTACAGGATGAGAAAAATGACTTCAATCTTGCGGGACTTTTCAGACCATGACATGGTGCACTTCTTCATACAACCTCAGATTGTTGCTAGAACACTAGCAGGGGTGTTCTCTCTGGTCATATTTGCCTCCTTGGTGACTGAAGGATATCAAAACTTGACAACCTCTTCCCAGCTACATTGTATTTTTAATGATAATGGGGCAGCCTGCTGCTATGGCATCACAGTCGGCGTACTTTCTTTTCTCCAGTGTTTCCTCTTTTTGGGCTGTGATGTCTATGATACTTGCATTACTAATCACAAGTTCAAGTATGCTATTCTTATATTGGATGTTACTTTCTCTATGACATGGACATGCCTGTGGTTTATTGGATTCTGTATCCTAGCCAATCAGTGGAACCGGTCAACTCACTCCTACCTGCTGGGAACTAGTGCTGCACGGGCTAGCATTGCCTTTGCCTTTCTTTCTGTTCCATGCTGGGGATATCTAGCCTATCTGGCTGTGAAAAACCTGTGGGCTGAGCCACCTGTGCCTTATAAGTGGACACTGGATGAAGGATCTGTTGCTCTGACCACCCTTTCTACATCCACCACCACTTCTCTTCCCAATAATATGGGGTTCCCTGAAAACATGGGTGCAGCTTCCTACCCATCCACGCCTGTACCCCATCGACTAACTTTAATGAATACTGATGACTAGGCAGTTATTTGTTCCTGTAGTAAATAAACATTTTACTAAAAAAACAACCCCCCCCCAAAAAAAAACTCACTTAACAAATTTCTCATTTAGCAATATAAATTCTGCACTGAGTTGTGCTCATAAGTCGAGGACTACCTCCTTTATCAATTTTTCTACTGTATTAGAAGGGCTGTTGCTCTGTCCCAGATTCCAGATAGCATTTTAGCTTTAGGCTTATGCTCCCCCCAAACTATGCATGTACATGTGGACAATACAAGGAACGCGGTGGCTCAGTGGCGAAGTTGCGGAGCTTAGTGATCAGAAAGGTTGGCGGTTCAGCTGTTTGAATTTCTAGCGCTGCAAAACAGAGTGAGCTCCCGTTACTTGTCCCAGCTTCTGCCAACCTAGCAGTTCGAAACCACATAAAAATGCAAGTAGAAAAATAGGGACCACTTTTGGTGGGAAGGTAACAGCGTTCCATGCACCTTCAGAGTTTGGTCATGCCATCCACATGACCACGGAGATGTCTTCGGACAGTGCTGGCTCCTCAGATTTGTAACAGAGATGAGCACCAACCCCCCTAGAGCTGTAAACGACTAGCACGTATGTGCAAGGGGAACCTTTACCTTTACCTTATAGACAAATACATTGATGATGAAAACGAAAGCAGAAAACAGGAATGGATATGTAAATATATGTATTCTTGTAAATGTATTCTGCTCTCATAGAAGGAGGAGGAAGGGTTGTTGTTAATTCATAGAATACTGGAAAATAGGAAATATATACAGCTAATTCTCAGCTTATAACAGCTCATTTAATGACCATTCAAAGCTACAACATCACTGACAAATGTCACTTTTTTCACACTTACGATCGTTATAGCATCCCCATGATCCTCTGATCAAAATCCTCATATTTTTATTTTGCAGACAGATGAACTTTTTTGTAAATATGAAAAAATTTTGGAAGCAGCAGATCCAGGAAATATGTCAGGTATCTATGGAAGAATTTAACTGAAATATTTGGCATGAATTTTGATTTCCATGATTTCATTTCATTTCAGAAACCATGTATTTGGTTTCTGCTAGTACTTTTCAATGAAGGTGGTGGAATAAAAGTGTTACATCCCATTGCCCTCAAATCCTACATTTGGATTCCAGGTCACATATTGATTATGGTAACTATTTTGAAAAGCTGGAAACTAGAGTAGTCAAAGCCTTAGTCTGAGCAGCAGCAAGTTATGAAGGTCTTAGTTTGGTGACTAAAGGTGCTGTCAAAAAAATTATAAAGTATCTTATCATTAAAAAATATAGCTGTATAATATTTTTACCAATAGCCTACTACCACCTGAACAAAATGGCAACCTGCTTATACAGTGTACCTGTTGAGGTATTCCCCGTTAAGAGAATGAGTGCACTCAGGGAAACATAGTGAGAGTGGTGATGAATAACACACAACCAGCACGCAGGTACACTGAATAGTAAAATGTAAGTTTTACTTCTTGTAAATGGGTAAACAAAATCCAACAAACAGTGCAAATCATACGCGGTTAAAGTAGTTAGTATTCAAAATAATCAGTCCAGGGATAATCCAAAAACGAAGTTCTTTTCTTTACCAGTATCATAAACAAAGTTCAGTAAACAGAGTTTGCGAATAGTTGCAAGACTCACAGCAATTCAAGCAGAATGATGATAAGGCAAAAGGCAAAAAGAAAGCAAAGGAAATGCAAAAAAAAACCCAAACCAGGTTTCTGGCTCCATCTTATGGCTGTTGGAGGAACCTCAGCCAATCACAATTACAACATTCTCTTAAAGATACAACAGTATTAAATGACTATCCTGGTTTATATATTGCCAACCTAACTGTTAGGTGACTATCATTCCTAACAGTACCAATGTCTAGAGTTGTTATGAGCTGGGCAGCTTTTCTGAATGTGATTTGTAAATAAATAATTTACATTATGATAATTCTGTTTTTTCTGTGATTACTAAAAGTGTAGTCTATCTCCAAAAAGCACCATGTTGGGGACCAGTTACCAACCTTCGCAACTTTAACACTTGTGGACTTCAACTCCCAGAATTCCCCAGCCAGAATGGCTGCCTGAGGAATTCTGGGAGTTGAAGTCCACAAGTCTTAAAGTTGAGAAGGTTGGGAAACACTGAGTTAGAATTTCTAATCAGGGCCAAGGAGAGCTAGAGTGTTTGTAAAGGAGGTTTCAATATGAACTGTCTCTGTTTCAGTCACATATTAAGTTCAGACAACATTTTTCAGCTAGAAAGCAGGGAGAAAGCATTTTGGAGTGGTGAATTGATGGCAGTTTCCAATAATTTATACAGATCAGGTAGAAGACGATAAGGCTTCTAGAAATAAAAGGATTGATAGGGAGGAAAGCAAGGTCAAGCAGTGGAAAAGGATAGAGGTGTATTGTCACACTGACCATTTAAAATAGAAGAAATTACAAAGATTGAAAGGGGAAGTAATGAGTCTCTGAGGAAAATGAAGGCAGAGAAAGGTTGCTATAGAAGGCTTACAGTTTTCCATAAAAGTATTGCATGGGTTTACACAATGTATTAAGACATAAACCAGCTTACAAATCATAACAAATGTGTTCACAGATGCTAAATCATGTAAACCATATAAAGGCTTGCTTCAGTGTGTAAATCTAGCCAGAGTAGTTCTGCGTTCAGGTCTAAGATTCAAATATGTTTGTCCTGAATATCCCTGACACAAGAAACTTACTCAGACTGTGAGAACTTTGGCCTTCCAGGGACTGCTGAACTGCAGTAGTAAACAGCTTCAGCCAATATAGGCAATGATGAGAGATTTACAAATTATAATTCAGCAACAGCTAGAAGAGCACAGGTTTTCTGTTTGGGCAATAAGAAATTCTGAAACTGTTAATAGGTCAGCCCTTCGTTAAGAAAAATACTGATTTAGTTGGCTGTGTTCTAAATTCAACCTGTTAATTTTCTCAGTTGAAGAAGCTGATGAGATGCTGATCAAATGTGAAGGTGGTGTAGAAGCAGCCCTAAAATATGCCAAAATGTGGTGTAAATACATCAAGGAGCTGTTGAACTGGATAGACAAACGTATTACTTATGGTAAGTATATATTTTTTGTCAACATCTATGTTTTATAAAAACTTGGTAAATGACTTTGACCCGGTCGTTCTTCCCCTCATAGATTACCTATTCAGATAACATACTTCCAGATTTCTTCAGTAATGGGACTGTCACTGTCCCTCAGACCATCATGAGATTAAGAAAGCAGAATTTTGCATTAGAGTGGGGTGTACGTCTTACAAACAGCCACAAAGATAGATTTCCAAAATTTTGAGATTTTATCCAGCTCAGGAGAAATAAGCTTCCTGCTCTTATCATGGATTTCTGATGAAGATTCAATCCTTTCATGTGTTGGTTATTTGCAGAAATTGAATTTGCAAAGAACATTCTGAAGATAGCCGAAGCTGGAAGAAATATCATTCTTTCTCAGGTAATGGTTTCAAGTTTTGTCTTCTGTGTGTTCATTTTGCAATCCATATCAAATTTCTTTGATGCAAGTATTACAGAGAGTTTGTACACAAACATAAACATTGTCTTTTAAAATCATCCTCTATATGATATGTGTGGGCAGGAATGTAGAAATCTCGTTTTCAGGCCCCACTTTAATAACAATCTTAATAATGAATTTATCTCTAATCGCAGAAGCATAGGTAACAATTATTTATATAAGAATAGCATGCATGCCCCACTGACTGTAGTTGTTGAGGCAAAGTGGACTTTACCCTCATAAAAAGACAACATGTGAGCAAAACATTGGATGAAGCATTTTAAATAAATGTATGTGCTCCTGATAAATTGAAAGCCTGACACCAATGATGTTTTAAGTATTATTTACATTTAACAGTAAGAGCTTAACTTATGTAACTAAGAAAGCTAAGTAACATTCAGCCATGTTCTATCACAGAGTTTCCCAAAGAGAACAATACTCCTCGACTTACAACCATTTGGTTAGTGGGTAGTTTGGAAGTGGTCTAGGTTTCATAAAACTTCATACTGTCAGGTTTACTTCAAACTATGGCAGTTGCTGTCAACCATTGTTGTGTGGTTGGCAGTCTTAACAAAAGAAGTTTAATCTCTTGGAAGCACCAGTGCTTGTGATACCCAGAAAGTTGTTGTATTACTTGGATAATTTAATCAAGATATCCTTGTTTCACATATTAATATGTCAGCATTAGTTATGACTTATGCATAAACACTGAGCCTAACGCAGGGATCCCCAACCCCCGGGCCATGGCCCTCTACTGGGCTATGAGCTGTTCAAAACCGGGCTGCCCGAAGCAGCGGGCAAGCGCATGCACAGGCACTCCATTTGCATGAATGGTGGGTACGAATGCACAGTGCACATCGCTCATGCAAATGGAGCTGCGCGCACACATGTGCTTGCCCACCACAAGGGCCATCTCCTCTCTCCCCTCCCACCAGTCCACAAAGCCAGAAAGGTTGGGGATCTCTGGCCTAGTGAGTTCCCTGGGCTAACAAATGACTGCTATGGAAACGTGCCTCAACTACCCAAGACTCATGCCAAGAATCAAAAGCCTCAAGTTTAAACCATTGAGAATGTGTACCTGTTCCTTTGACCTCTGCACTGCAGAGAGAAGCAGCTGTTTTGTGTGGGGCTTCATCCTTGTCTCCTATATGGATTCTGATTTATATTAATCCCAGATGTGAAGCCTGGTACTGTGGCAATGGCACTGAGTGCAGAATGAAAGCACTATATTATAAAAATGAAAAAGGATGTGTGTTATTTCTTTTAATGCTGGATCTGACAGAGAGCCTGGGAATGACTATCTCCTGTCAGCTAGAATGTGATTGTTCTAGCAGGTTGGTCAATACTTTTGTCTCCCCAGAACGGTATGCCTCTCCAGAGCCTCTATACCCTGGTCATGGAGCATGACATAAAGGCAGGGAACGTAGCCATCGACACAGCTGGAACGTTGCATCTGAGAGAATATTATGAGGTACATCAGTTTTCTGATTTAGATAAAGCATCCCTTAGCAAGAGCAACAATTTAAAATATCCCATGAGTCTATCAGACTAGAATCTTGGTTCTAAAGAGATTGTGACTGGAACAACTGCATTTGAAGAAGATGGAGCTGGGAAATAGAAATGTAATGTTAAAACTGAGGGCATTGGTTTGATCAATTTTCTTCAAGTACCCATATTAATTCAGTATATGGTGGGGTTGATTTTTTTTTTTCTGAATTCCTGCTTCATACCACAATCTCTCCTGCTATCTACACCTAACAGTCCTCTTTCTGTTGTAGCCTCTTTGGGCCAAAAGGAATGAAATTGAGAAATGGCGGAAGGAATTCAAAGATCAGTGGCAGAAAGAACAGAAAAGGATGGTAAGAGCAGATCAAGGGATGAAGTTGCAATCAGGGTTGGTCTTTTGACAGATATGCATGGGCCAAAGGTGCTAAGGTGCTATAAGTGCTGCTGTACATTCAGGATTTTAAATAAATTTTTGGGCAATGGAAGTTCAGGTTGGGAGGTAGATTAGGAAAACCTTGCTTAGAGAGACTGGGAGTTTTTATCCCAGAAAGTACCAGATATGGACAAAGGGTCACATCAATGGCTTCTGTGTAAAATCATATTTCTTATAACCTGAGTAGACCATATCTTCACATTGAAAGAAAGTGCTCTATTATTTTTCCAAGGCGTCTGTTCTCAGGAACATTACTTCATAAATAAAATTTCCTTTTCCTTCTACTTATCAAGGTATAGATGAAAACACTTAGATGATAAACTGCCAACACTCATTTATATTTTGAAGTCAATTTAGAATACAGGTAGTCCTTGACTTATGACCATAACTGAGTCCCAAATTTAAGTTGTTAAGTGAGACATTTGTTAAGTGAGTTTTGCCCCATTTTACCACCTTTCTTGCCACCGTTATTAAATGAATCACTGCAGTGGTTAAGTTGGTTGCATAGTTGTTAAGTGAATCTGGCTTCCCCACTGACTTTACTTGTCAGAAAGTCTCAAAAGATGATTGTGTAACAGTCATAAATATGAGTCAGTTGCCCAGCATTTGAATTTTGATCACGTGACTATGGAGATGCTGCAACTCAGAGGCGGTATTCAGCAGATTCTGACCAATTCTGGAGAACTGGTAGCGGAAATTTTGAGTAGTTGGGAGAACCGACAAATACCACCTCTGACTGGAGGTTTTACAGTCTCCTTCCCCTGCCATGCCCACCAAGCCATGCCCACAGAACTGGTAGTAAAAAAAATTGAATCCCACCACTGCTGCAACGGTCATGAGTGTGAAAAACAGACATAAGTCATTTTTTTCAGTGCCACTGTAACTTTAAACTGTCACTAAATGAAGTGTGGTAAGTCAAGGTTTATCTGTACCTTGCAAAGAAGTTGCTTGTGATTTCTAGATGTCAAAATATTCAGTTGTCGTACTGTGTGAGCACATGTATCATAGTCAAGATTAAGATTCTGTAATGCTTGGAAAGTAAGGACAGTGATAAATAAACAACCTCCAACTCTGATAACTTAGCAAAATCTGTCTTCCATCATCATCTAAAATCAATTCAGAGTTGTGATTATTTTTAAGCTGCATTTTGAAGGTTGGGCTATAAAAATTAGTGACTAATGAAGGTGAATGTATGTGTCCCAGGATAATGTTGCAGGACCGAGTCTGGGTCAGTCACCAGAACCAGATTGGATCCTGCTACAACAGGGGTGTCAAGCTCAATTTCATTGAGGGCCACATCAAGGTTGTGTTTAACTTCAGGGGCCGGGGTGGGGGTGGCCAGGATGGGAGTGGCCAGCTTGATGTCACTCATGTCAAGGGCACACAGCCCTCCCAAATTCCATTTTCACTGGCAGAGGCACCGTGGGCCAGTCCCTCACTGTTTCCAGGGTGGCCCCACAGGCCAGATCTAAACACCCCTGTGCTACAAGAATTACTCTTAAAGCCTCAAAAAACACATGGAGGGCATTTATTATTAGCATTATTTCTGAGTGTTGGGACAGACTACCCTTTGGTTTTTTTCTGAGAACTTCATTCGAGCTGCAGATGGCCAAGTGACATAAAACTGGGAGCCATGGGGATCGGTCATAAGTGTGAAAAACAGTCATAAGTCACTTTTTTCAGTGACATTGTAACGTTGAATAGTCACTAAGTGAACTGTTGTACATCGAGGACTACTAGTAATACAAATACATTCAAAAAGGCATTCAAAAACAAAGCCTATAGTAGAGCTATTTACTGCCCAACAACAGTTTGCCTCTTCTAATTGCAGAATGATTCCTTGTCTTCGATGCGTAAATCTCGCCTCCATTACCTCCAGCGCTGTGAGGATTTTGAAAAAGCCAAAGTGCAAAGCGCCAAAGCAGAAGAAGAATTCCAGGCTGTCACAAATAGTGGAAACAAGCAATTGGAAAAACGGCGGCGTTATCGAGATGAGGCTCAGTTAAAGGTATTGGTCTTGGGACTTAAAAGTTAAGTGCTCTGCTTCTTCAATCTGGTCCCCGAAGCAGACGCTGAGTTTGAGAATTCAGGTCCTCATGACAGCAAGGAAATTATGTAGAAATGTACGGGGAAGACACAGAAATGAATTACAGCTTTTTGTAGGCTTGCTATAAACTTTTGCTCTTGCCGACCACATATTTATCTGGATGCCACAGATACAGATATGGGAATGTGTCATGTAGTAAAAGTTTGTTAACTTATCAGAAGTGATTTTTGAGATGAAATTTTAAAAAATGACAGCTCCTAAGAGTTGTACCATTAATTATCCTGATTCTTGACTTCTGCAGATACTGCTCAATTCATTTCACCTGCCACAGTTTTGTCAGACTAGTAGTCTCAAAGGTGCTTTTTCAAAAGGCAACTGGACTATGTTTTTTTCTTGAGGAAGAAGATGTTCAGAACTGATGAAGCTTCTTGGGTGAGAAGCGAAATATCTTCTTCCTCAAGGAAAAAATATAGTCCAGTTGCCTTTTAAAAAAGCACCTTTGAGACAACCATGTCTTGGATCTCCATAGACAGTCAGACCAGTACTTTGCCTCCTTCATTGAAGTTTCTTCCCACTTATGAACCTGTTAAAGTTGATGTGGAAGAACCGGCCACTTAATCTGTAATTGTGAGCGGCCATTTGGGAATTCAAGTGGATTTGGGGCCTCTATAGAGACCTTTCTAATCCTATGATAGGAAACATGGAGTTTCTTTCTCGTCATTCCTAAAGGTCTGTAAAGCTCCTTTTAAAGACAGTTTTTATTTTACTGGGTCTTCAAACCCCAGCTCAAGTTTTATTGGCATCCATTTTAGCATTACTTTCCGATTACAATTGTTGTTTTTAACATTTATTTTCTTTTTAATGTTGTTTTTATAATGTGAATGTGTTGTAATCTGCTCAGAGTCTTTTGAGTTGGATGAGCTATTATTAAATACTTAAATAAATAAATGGTAGATAAAGCACTGAATTGCTTACAAGGTATACTTTCAAGAAAGAGAACATGCTGCTTTTAATCCAGCAGAAAACAATGAATTCCACATTATGTGAGATCAAGCTGTTTGTTTGTTGAGCTAGCACAACATTTACTTTGTGGTGAACATTTTTCTTGTTGATGTTTTTTTGGATGCTGGGGAGAATGTATGTGATCAAAGGAAAGTTGGAAGGAATCAAGCTTTGGATTCTAGACTTTTCTCTAATGGAGAAACAATAAGCTGGTGTGGCTTAGAAACCAGTGGTAGTTTATTTATTTTATTTATTTATTTTTGTCAAGTGATTATAAGATATAAGTATAAACATAGTTATGAATAGATGAAATGGATACATATAAGAAACATAAAAAAGAAACAATAGGACAGGGACGGTAGACACATTTGTGCACTTATGCACGACCCCTACACACCTCTTAGGAAAGGGGTGAAGTCAATAGTAGACAGTCTAAGGTTAAAGTTTTTGGGATTTGGGAAAGAAACCACAGAGTCAGGTAGAGTATTCCAGACATTGACCACTCTGCTGCTGAAGTCGTATTTCCTGCAATCAAGTTTGGTGAGGTTTACCTTAAGTTTGTATCTATTGTTTGCTCTTGTGTTGTTATGGTTGAAGCTGAAGTATTCATTGACAGGTAGCACATTGCAATATATAATTTTATATACTATACTTAGATCAGACTGAAGGCGGCGTAGTTCTAGGTTTTCTAGGTCTAGAATTTCAAGTCTGGTGGCATAAGGTATTCTGCAATGAGTAGAGGAGTGGAGAACTCTTCTTGTGAAATATTTCTGGACTTTCTCAACTGTATTAATATCAGAAGTTCCCTGAATGAGGTGTAATGTGGAACAAATCAAGTTTTCAAGGCTACCAAGGCAGCAGATCTTGGCAAGAGCATGAATGTTGACAAAGGAAAGTGGCTTAGGAGCAGAAGAAAAAAAGACACTGTTGATTATGGCATGATATGATGACTGAATTGCCCCCAAAGCATCTGAGAAGATTACTGACTCATAGAGAATACTTCATATGTATTAGTAACGGAGCTGGCTCGTTACATCACATAAAATGTTTTCTCTCCCTACCATGTTAATTTTATTGATTGATTGATTGATTGATTTGATTTGATTTGATTTGTCAATCGCTTACAGGATAATAGGTATAAGTATATACATAGTTATGAATACATGAAATGGGTACATATAAGAAAAATAAAAGAAACAATAGGACAGGGATGGTAGGTATGTTGGTGCGCTTATGCACGCCCCCTACAGACCTCTTAGGAAAGGGGTGAGGTCAATAGTAGATAGTCTAAGGTTAAAGTTTTTGGGGTTTGGGGAAAAAACCACAGAGTCAGGTAGAGTATTCCAGACATTGACCACTCTGTTGCTGAAGTTGTATTTCCTGCAATCAAGTTTGGTGTGGTTAACCTTGAGTTTTTATCTATTTTGTGCTCTTGTGTTGTTATGGTAAGAATACTGTGCAGGTTTTGTATAGCACAGAATGAAAGTTGAGCAGATTTCATGCAACTGAAAAAAATGTTGCTCTTGTGGGGCATGTGGGGGAATTGCTAGAGCAACCTGTGATCTTCCCTCCCAGCTACCCCATTGATTTGGCCTGGGAGAGGTTGTCAAAGAAGATTGCAAATGGTGACCATATGGACATGGAATGCAAGTGCAAGTGTTATCTGGCTGTAAAGCACCCAAACTGCAATCTGTGATGGCTAGACAACTGGACCTTCAAGGGCCAATCATAAGTACCATTTGTTCAATGCTATTGCAACTTTGCACAAGTAGTCCGGTTGTTGAACAAGTGGTCAGAAAGAGGAGATTACTGCACTATTTGTGAGAAGGATCTGAGTGTTCTGGTAGATCACAGATTAAGCATCATTCAGAAGTGTACTGCAGCTGCCAGGTGAGCCAATGTAATCTTGGACTGCATCCACAGATTTGAATGGGGGTGGATTTGTTGGAGTCCTGATAGCTATGCTGTCACATTCGTAAGAAGTGATAGTTCCATTTTGGGCTGCACTGGTCAAACCCTACTGGGAATACTGGGTGCAGTTCTAGTTATTACAATACAAGAAGGTACTGCAGAAGAGATACTAGAAAGAATGTGAAGAAGAACAATGACAATGATAAAGGGTTTGGAGGTGAAATCCAATGAAGACTGATTGAAGGAATTGGGTATGTTTTTCTTAAAGAAGAGAAGTCTAAGTGGAGAGATGGTTGCAGTCTCCAAAAACCCGAAGGTCTATCCCAGGAAGTGGGTGTGAATTTATTCTCCATAGCACCGATGAGCAGCAAAAGTAGTGTTGGAGGAAGTACCATACAGAGGAAGATCCAAACTTGAAATAAAGAAGAATTTCTTGACTGAGAGTGCTATTAAACAGTGGAACAGCCTGCTTCCTTGGAGTAATGAGGCATCCATGATTTGAAGTTGTTGTTTTTTTAAAATGCTAAAACGCCATTTGCCTGTGAGGATTCCTATCCATGGCAAGAGGGTTGGACTAGATCTTCCAGGTCTCTTCCAGCCCTGTAATCCTGTAAGTGCCCTGAGAATTATAGTTGAATTGGAGGTGGATGTAGGAACATGTAAGAGTCTTTGTTGTCACCAGACCAGTAGTAGAATTTTCAGTATCTTACATCTTATTTTGGCCTGTTCATTCCAAAGCATATGGGTCAGATCTATATTTATAACAGAAAGAGATGATGATTTGGCAATAGTTGCAGACATAGGGGACAATTGCCCAGCTGTCCACCAGTGAGAAGATTTGGACTCTGGCTCAATATATTTGCTGCAGTTCCATAGTCCCAAACTGGAGGAATAGGGTGAGGAAATGAACAGATTGAAAAGAGCAATATGGTGATTATGGAAATGACTTTATAGCAAGTGATTCCCAAATCCAAATTTGTTCCTGGGAGCTAAAACTGTACCCTTTCAGGTAAGAAATATAATGCTGAGGAAGAACATGATTCTGCTGACTGTGTTCCTGTGATTTAGATTGAAGGAACAAGCATTCTGATGACCATGAGTAAGACTATCAGAATATAATGACAATGGAGACTAGTAGCTAAGTCCTGGAAACAACTGAGGTAAACCATCAAGTCTTTGAAGAAATGGAGGACAGGAATGTTTAATGCCAGAGTGGAGTAGTCCTATTGTAATGTATTCTCTTTAGAAACAAGCCATAAAGCGCCCAAAAGTGGGGAAATTGCCACAAATACTACAAATTTTATTTTATGTTAGAATGAACTGAGCTGCACAAATGGTTTCAATTTATCCCTAAAATAAATTATACAATATAGATGCTTCCTTATTTTGGGTGCATAACTAGCATTCCCATCAGTTCTTACTGGCATCCCCACTGTGAAGTACTTCATCTATTGGTATAACCAAGTCAGCTTTCCCATTCCTTTCACTGATTTTTATTTCATGCACACAGGTTCAGGAATCAGAAGTTACATATAGAAGCTGTGTTTCTGAATCCAACAATCGTCGTCTCGAACTGAAAAAAGTCCGGGAGAGAATTATCTCTCACATTCGCAAGCTAATGTATCAAGGAGATGAAATGCTGGTGAGGGTAAGTTTGTGATTTATGATTAGATGTTTCTCTTGATTTCCTCCTTCACTTCCCAACTTCATTTTCCAAAGACAGGGTGAGAAATGGGAGGGTATGTTCTCACTTCTCTCACTTAAACAGTTATTAAATAGGAGTGAACAGAATAGTCTATTTAAGTCAGTTTAATGCACTCATAACAGACTGGTTGAATTTTCAAACTGTTACTACTGAAGGGTAAGTACGGAAATATTGTAATAGATTCTCCAAATTTCAACAATAATTCTAAATTCAAAGAAATGTATTAATTTTGTATGTGTCCTTCAGGTGTCCTTGAGGATGTTCAAGCTCCAGCATGCTCAAGCAGAACGAATCCCTGTAGGGTACCAGAACTTGACTGAATTCTGCAAGCCCTACAAGATTGGTGAAAAATATCTGGAATTTATTCAAAAACTGCCAAAAAAAGAGCTTCCCATTGAGGTGTACAGATTTGAAGAATTTGTACCAGCAGGGCAGAGGTAAGGAAGCATAGCCCTTTTTCTTCGGTCCTCTGACCCACCCACCCATGGGTATTCCCATCATCTTACCAGTCCTGATCAAAATTTCTTATTACATGGCCCTGAAGATTTACAGCAATGGGAAAACATGTGTCTCTCCAGATGCTGATGAATTATACTGTAGCTCTCAGCAGTCCTAATCACCATAGCCAGTGGTGAAGAATACTAAAAGTTACAGGTTCTACAACATCCGAGAGCTACAGGCTTCCCATCCCAAATGCCTACAGTTTTAGCATACGAAACATGCATATTGCAGGATTCTTTTGATGGTAATGTCTATCAGTGACTGGCATATTGAAAGATCAGATTAAGTGTTTTCAGCAGACAAGAGACAAAAAGATCTTCCAAGATTTTTTAGTAATAGCATCAATTAATTCTTGTACTTAACCTTTTTACACCTAGTCCTTTGATCAACATACACATTTTAAAAGAAGGTTCTTAAAGTCTTGATCATATATTCATGTGGTGATAAAGTCATAATGGTTTGCCATTTCGTCACACCCTTACACTATGCTGGATTCCACTGGTGAACTCAAGTGTACGACTGAAAACTGATGAATAAGGAATAATGGAAGGAAACTGAACAAGGAGAGATTCAACCTGGAAATATTTTCTGATAGAACAATCAACCAATGAAACAAAAGTCGCCTTTGGAAGTTGTGGGAACTTCATCACTGGAGGCTTTCAAAAGACTGGATGGCCATCAGTCAGAAATGGTGTAGGGTATCCTGCTTGAGTGGGGGGTTGGACTAGATGACCTACAAGGTCCCTTCCAACTCTTAATCTGTAAGTAAAAAGTAATGTAAAGCTTACATCTAAATAAGAACTACATTCTTTAAAAATGCTAGGTCACCAAGATGTGGCATCATTTCCAGCAGGGGGCAGAAAAGACATTTTAAATAGTACCTAAAGACAGGAATTGTGAACAGTATGCTGAGAAAGGAGGGAGAAAGAGAGAGAGAGAAGATCCTGAAGTTATAAATCTCTCCTCCAACCATCACAAAACAGAAAACAAGAGAACAACAAGCATTTAAGACAGAACAAGAAGCAATGGATGGAAACTAATCAGGGAGAGAACCAACTTAGAACTAAGGACAACTTTCTTGACAGTAAAACTATTAATCAGTGGATTGATTTGCCTCTAGAAGTTGTGGGTGCTCAAATAACGGAGGTTTTAAGAAGAGATTGAACAACCTGTTGTTTGGAATGTTATAATATTTCCTGCTTGAGCAGGGGGTTGGACTAGAAGACCTCCAGTGCCCCTTCCAACTCTGTTATTCTGTTTGTCCTCCACAAGGAAGTCTCCAAAAAGACCTTTTGAAAACCAGAAGAGTCCAAATCTGTCCCATCTATTTCTAATGAACACTGGCCGGGACTGGGTTCAATTAGTCCATTGTACCAAATATTCTTTTTCTTAACTGTGATTTTGGAAAGACCCACAGCACTACAGAGTACATGTTTGATTTTTTTTTCCCCTGAGCAAATGTCCTATTTGAAGGATGAAACATCTCTCTGTGGGATTATCAAAGGCTTATACTAAAGTTAAACCTGAAAGATAGATGTTTGATTTAAGCTCTCTGTGCTATATTGTATAATTTCAACTTCAGATGTTTTTCTAGAGGGAAAATTATATTTATAGTAAAACAAATTATCTGGGCAAAGATAGCAAATTGGAGTAGCTCTTGTCCTTTCAAAGAATCTGGGCAGAATTAGATGTTTGAAGGAAAGTTTGGTAGATGGAAATGCCACAGTTGTTGTGGGGGGCAGGAGAGAGGGAGAGAGTTTGTATAACTGGGCCCTGAAAAATAATTCATCAATAGATGAAATTATGGAATAAGGATGCAACTTTGTGGGGGGGGGGATTGGGAAGAATTACCCACCTGTCTGTTTTTACCGGCCACAGGAAATGGCAGTGGAAGAATTGCATTTGAGCCTTTCCTCACCAGCATCCCTTGCTTTGACAAGGGAAAATACTACTGGAATAATGATGAATTGTTCTGACTTTGTTTGCTGTCCTCTGTGTTTTACAGTAGTGGAATCAGCAGAATAAAGTTACATAAATCACCCTCGGGATGAGAGAAGGCTAGCATTGTGGGAAAAGGGGATGACACTGGAGGTGCCAGGTTATTCAAGGGGCTTTGTAAATAACTTACAAAGAAAGTTCTTAATTAGTGCCAGCTTCAGTACTAGACAGGAAGGCCCAATCCCTAAGAAATGCTGTCCCAGTAATAAAACCTTGAAGGGAAAAAAAGCTTTCTTCCCAGATTATCTGTCTCCTAAGCCATCATGATTCCAGCGCAATTCTTTGAAGGATCAAAATCATGTAACATTAAAAATGACTATAAATTCTTAACATAACCATGCGCACTATACTAGGGATTCTCAAGTTTTAGGACGCCATGACACAGTGAATTTGTATAACACCTATAGATAAAAACAATTTATTCATTTGAAACAAAAATAGATTTGCCACTTAATTTGAAGCATTGCATTTTAATTTACATATCAAATGACAGATTTTTAAATCTACTTCATTGGAAATAAACAAACCAACAACCCCCTCACATATTCCCCTCAATAAAATTTACAACCATCATTTTAATGAAAAAGGTTTTGAGCTTGTTTACTTTTGCATAATTCCTGACATCTGGGGTTAATTTACAGATATGCACATTCATTCCATCTAAAAGGAAGGAGGGAAAGAACGCTTTTTACTGTAAATTAACTTATCTTGAAAGGCTGCAGTACGCAAATCTCTTGCAGGCTGTAAGTTATTTTTAGTGCTCTCTTCTGGTGCAGCCCCATTGAGATAACTATCACAGAACCATCTTCTTTCTCAAACCACCACTCCCTTCCCCTCCATATAATTCCCCTGGCAGAGTGAGCATTAAGTCACACAGTCAAAGCTGTTCATAGAAGCCTCATGTGCTCTAGGCATGATTACTCCTCCTTTGTAAATGTATTGTGTTTAAAATAAAACAAGCACATTTGGGCTTCATCTGCCATTTTGCATCGAACTAGTAAGGCTGCTGAGGGAGGACGAGGCTTCCTTCTTTTCATGAATATAATCTACATATTGACAATTGATTATTGATTTATTATGAGGTATTAGGACAGTTTTGACAATGAGCAACCACATACATAGACCTTCTTCGGAATGCCAATAGAAAGAGACAAGTCAATTTGATGAAGGAAAATTCACTTTTTACTGCCTCTAACTATTCTGTGTAATATGAAGTTTCTGATTTTGTTGAATGTTGTTCTAAACAAAATGATTAGTGATTATGGAACACCATATATTGAAGTGTGAGAAATAAAAATATTCACTTTTAAAGCAAAGATTGGCATGCTTTAAAAAAAATGTATGAAGCAAATACTGGGTCCAAATGAGGAATTTAACATAGAATTTTTGTATCTTACTGCACTTCGAATGTCCAGTTGCCTCTTGAAAAATGAACTTAGAATATTTCTCAGCTTTTTGCTGAGTTTTTAATCTAATTCAGGGGGTAGCATTAACTATTACTGTTAACACAAGTATGTACTAGGTTGTGAGAATGTTCTTTAAGACAACCATCATTTGTGAAACGTTTTTGGAACCAAATGTCTACTAATAAGCAATTACCTGTAACTTTTTTTCTGGGGAAATTTATAGTAGTTGATGGGCCTTTGCTTTTTCAGGTCACCCTCTTCTGGTAGAAGAAAAAACATTGCACCTTGTTCTCGAATTTATTCATCAACTGCTGACCTAAGCAACTCATCAGAAGAAACTCCTGGAAAGCCATCTTCCTCAAGCAGTGAGCAAAGTACAGTCAATTCCATTACAATACACTTCTACCTTCTTCTTTGGGATCATCTTATAATCCTTGCCATGGTCTGGCTAGATCAGGATATGGGGTCTAGATCTGGTTACAAAAAAAATTACTTCCCTAGAGGTAGTCCTCAACTTACAACAGTTCATTTGTGAACTGGCTCTAAAAAAAGTGGCACGATCGTTTTTCATACATACAACCATTGTGGCATCCCCAAAGTCATGTGATCAAAATTCAGACGCTTGGCAACTGACTCATATTTAGGACAGTTGCAAGGTCTCAGGTCATGTCATAGCCTATTGCCACTTTCTGACAAGCAAAGTCAATGGGGAAGCCAGATTCTCTTAACAACCGTGTTACTAACTTAACAACTGCAGTGATTCATTTAACAACTATGGCAAGAAAGGTCATAAAATGGGGCTAAACTCGCTTAACCAATGTCTTACTTTGCAACATAAATTTGGGTCTCAATTGTGGTCATAAGTCAAAGACTACCTGTACTTGAATGATGTGCCATCAAGTCATTGTTGACTCCTAATAACCACATACATTTCTCAATAACGGTCTCTTCCTAACTTGCTTTATCAGGTCTCCTAATGGTGCACCCATCATCACTGCAACTAAGTCTATCCTCCTTGTTGAAGGGCATTCTCTTCTTCTCTTTCCTTCCATCCTTCCCAGCACTGAGTCTTCTCTGGAGAACTAGACCTTTGAATAATCTGTCCAAAGTAGATGAATTTGAGCCTGGTCATTTGTGCTCAGAATGAGAACTCTAGTGATCACTCCAAGCACAGGAGGCAGGATTAAAGATTTTTTAAAAAAATTGGGGGTATCTTTGCTGCCATCCGTGATTGGATTTTTTTTGCAGTTTAGGACTGTAACTTAAATTGAGTGGAAAGTGAAAAAGGAAAAAAGCAAGCACATCTCAACAAAAGAAAGCTCCATACAACTTCTTCAGTAACTGAGGCAAATGTTATTCTTTTGCTCAAATCAGATAACTTCTGTATTGTTAAAGGCGTCTCCATTTTCCAGAAGCCAATATTTTGCCACTTCTCATATGTTATGAGAGAGCTTTAGTTTTATAGAAGACTATCTTTTTTCCTATTGCCAGGTGCCAACCAATCTTTCTACAGTGACACAGAGAGCTTGGGAGGGAGCACTGAATGCCAATGCTTGGATTCCCCCACATCTAGCCCAGGTGAGAAGAAGTTCCCTTTTTGCCTAGAAAATTAAGTAAGTTCATAAAGAAGAGATGGAAGATGGAAGCTATAATAAAGTAGTAGCTGAAATCTTTATAAATTACAGTTGACACTGCAAACAGACTGTGGCATTCTTTCCTAATATATAGCCTTATTTTCCCTCAGAGACTGCTTTTTAAAAGATTGGACATTTTGAAGAAAGAAACTGTTTGTCTTTTAAATAAACATATAAATCCTGGGTTTTTTTATTTTTATTTTTTGATTTTTAATTGCAACGGTTTCTCTATTAAAGCTGATAAAAATAACTACAAAAGAATTTTAAAAAATTATAGTGGCAGCATCATTTTAAATGTCCTGGGATCATGAAATTAATACGAAAGAATACATCAGTTCTGTATTGGGAGCCCTTTGAATGATCTGGGGACACATGACACACTTCTTGTTGCAGCTAGATGAATTGTTTACCTAATCAGAAAACTAGAGGGTGGGGGGAGAGATTTCCTAAAGTGAAAGAGAAAAGAAGAAACCGGAAACTGTACCTGAGCTCTGATTTCACTTCTGCAGAACTAATAACGGCTGAATTTGTGCTTTGTACTGAGTCAGAGATCAGAATTATGAACTTTTGTGGGAATGTTGCTGCACCAATGGCTGGATGGCTTCCTACAAAGTCACTAGAAGAGTTTATAATGTCACAGAAAGTGGCAAAGCTAGGTTTTTTTTCAAACTGCTTGTGAGGATTTTATACCACTGGAATTGAAACCCTGCTCCAGTTTCCATTTTAGTGAGTCCTCTTATCCTCTCAGATGGTCCGAGGTGCTGCTACCAAATTTTGGAAATGTAATGCCAGAGTGTTGGAGAAGGGCTGTGAGTGAGTTATTAGGCAGCTGTATCCATGCAGCCATAATGTGGTTTGTTTAATTAAGACTTTATGAAATTGTGTATTAGGTGTCATTATGTATCGTGATTGTTATGATGGCAATCATGATTATTATGAGTATGCTTCTGTGATGTGTGAACTCAGCCATAGCCTATGTCTAATCAAATCACAGATGTAAGTCTTATTATCAAGTGCTAAAACAAAATATGTAGATTGCAGCAAATTAAATTACAATAAACTTGGCATTCCTAATGTGATAAGTAGTAGGGTGCCTGTAGAAAGGTCCTGATCTTTTAAAAAGAATGTTTTAATTAAAAAAGAAAAATTAGAAACCGACCAGCTACAAAACAAAGCGGCAGCCTTTGCATCATCTTTATTATCAGAGTTATATGGAAGTTCCTCATGGCCCCGTGTGTGAACATTTTCAAAAAATAAAAATGTTCAAGGGACTCGTGCTTGCTTGAAAATGTGCCTATCTATCCAAATAAAACAAGTATAGCTTCAGAGGTATAGAAATTGGGGGTGGGACAGGAAGTTTCCAAACCAGTTTGGTTATTTATTTATTTATTTTTAATGGCTGCTCTTAGCCATTGTGGTGGTGCTGCAGAATCCCCACTCCCATGAGAAACCATGTACAATAAATGTTTTAAAATTTCAGACCTGCCTAGGAACTCTGGAAGGCTGGGGCTCAGACAATAGTCAGTCCTTATTCTTTTCAAACTTATTTTTTAAAATGGCAGCCAGTTTAAACAGTTGAACATGTCTGAATTGATTTGATAGTTAAAATGGCATGTCTCCATAGTTTGGAAATTCTTGAGTTGCATTATATTGACAATGAAAACAAATATTTCATGCATGCTAGCTTTAGAAAAGTACATTATGTTTTTTCACATAACAAATTAATTTTTCAGAACTCAGTGTGCAGTCAAATTGAACTGTTTGCAGTTATTTTAAGCAGCTTCTATGATTATTTGAAAGATTATTTATTTCATATTCAGGCCACAAGAAGTTGCTGAAAGCTCCATCCACTGGAACTGTATCGTCTTCAGAAGACTGTGAAGACAAAGATTTGATACGAGCCTATGACAATGGTGAGAAGCAAAAGAATTCTATGGTTTAACAGAATAAGAAGAAAACCAGAACTCTTCATAGCCTGGGAAAGGAAACAGAGATGAGTAAAGGACTATAGTTAAAAAGCTCCACAACTTATAAATGGATACTCAATATTTTCTTGGTTTTTAATGAAAACATGCCAAGGATTCTTCATGTTGGGGTTCCAACACAATTCTACCATACATGAATGTTTTTAATTACCAGTAACACTACTTTGAGGTTTCCATTGTCCCTCTTTTAAAGACTTACAGCTTTTTGAAATCAACTGCCTCAAACTTTCCTGTCAAAGTACCTCTGGAATTTTATTCCCCTAGAAGACCTTCCTTTTTTTATCATTCTTCTTCCTGTGGTCAGGCTATGGTAGATGTTTCTCTCTTGTCCGCTCTGACCTTTGAACTTTCAGATCTTCTTTTTTCCTTTGGGAAAAATGGGCACTAACCATTATTGACTTCATACTCTGATATTATACTCTGATATCAACTGTCATCCAAAGTGTAGTGCTTGACCTTTTATTTCCTCTAGCCAGAATTTCTAATCAATCATAATATATCATCATCTAAGAACCAGTGAGGAAAGGTTTCCTCCCGCATCTATTGCTAGCTATCTTTTTTTTTTTTTCTGGGGTTCCCAATCCAATATGAAAATAATTGCAAATCTTCTACTAAACAAATTAATTACTACTGTTGCTGGACAAGTTTTCAATTGTATGATTTTTTTCACACTGCATTCAGAGATTGCTCTTGTGAACATTGTAAGATGTAACACTTCTCTGCCATATCTAATATTTTATTTTATCCACTGGGAGATTCAGCCATGAACAACCCCTCCCCTTTGGGATACTGAATTATTGAAGGAATATTTTTCCTCGGAGTATGCTACATTTTTAGATCACAAAATAGGAAAGTTGGAGTGGTCAGGGTCTGCACTTTAACATTTGAAATAATAAGTACAAAATGAAATGACTCACATAACATATTTGATCGTGGACAGGATTTCTCTTATTTAGTAGTGGGGGTGAGTTATTTTAATTAGATTTACTGGTAATCTGTTTTAATATTATGTTGAGCCTATTTGCAATTTACCTTATTGTTTTGTGTAGTTCCTTGTTCAAAACCAGGCTCATGATTTTGAAACTCTTCCTACTTTGAATTTGGGGCATACCTTCAATATCTCCATATTCATTTTTTACCATGGGGTGGGGTGTTTGTTTGTTTGTTTGTTTGTTTTGGTATATGCATGTTGCTCTTCAGCAAATATTCATTGTTCTTGAGGCGGAAGTGATCACATCTAATAGAAAATAATAGACCTCATCCTCTTTTCAGATCTAAATGATGTTGTTGAAAATGGCTTGTCTCAGTGTCAGTTTAAAAAAATAATCCTGTCAAGTGCTGCTCAGACTCATCGGCTGAGAAAACTGAGGGGCCCTTCAAAATGCAGAGAGTGTGAGAACTTCATGGTCAATGGTATTGAATGTGAAGAAGTAAGTGAACATAAACGGAACCACGTTGCTTTAAAAAATGGCCAAACAGCCTCCCACTTTCAGTGCAACGTATGACAAAAACATTGGTAATTAAAAAGGTGTGAAAGTAATTTAGGCTTCAATGGCATATTTATATAGAGAGAGGTATACATCTAAATCTGTTAAATTAATTTAATATCCTACTGTGAGATGGGATCCACTCAGCATAACATCATATCCTCAGCCCATATTAACCTTCTAGTGGTTAAGTATCTTTCAGTGGGATTTGACTGCTGATTTGGAAATGTAAGAATAATAGGCATAGGAAAGATTCAGTATGTGTTCTGACTTGTAATGTGCCAGGTGGGTCCAGTAATAAAAGATGCCAGTCCCATTCCAATTGGGATCAGGTCTGGATCATGGTTTGTCATTTGTTCATTTCTGGCCTTATGACAAGCATCTCTGCAGATCCAGTGTTTAAGCTGTGGTCATTCAAGATGATTGCACAGATTGTCAAGAGTAGTAAATAATCTGTGAGAATCTTCTTTTCTGTAAGATACAATACTTTTTGAAATAGTTATGTTATTGAAGAATAGTAAGAGCTGAAAGGACCTGAAGCTTTGGTTTCAGTCAGTATGTTCCTAAATGACATAATCTGAATTAGTTAACATATCTTTGGTCCATTATGAAAAACAGGCAACCAGGCTAGAATTTTGAAGAGGTCCAACTTTTATTCTTTCCTTCTGTGTTCATTGAAAGTACTAAAAATTCAGCAGACATTAAGCATTGATTTGAATTTTTGATCCACCCCTTCAGATATCTAAGTTCAATACTGGGAGGAATAGACTTCAGGTTTCTATACAGTAAAGCAAGAAAATGTGTTATGTAAGTGCACAAAACGGAGGCCTGTTACAAAAGCTCAAAATATTGTCATTTAAGAAATAGCTATTTGTTAAGACTGATCCAATACTGTGGGGGGTTTTTTCACAGTGCCTGTTAACCTGCCATAAAAAATGTCTGGAGACCCTTCTCATCAATTGTGGTCATCAAAAACTGCCAGCCCGGGCATCGCTATTTGGAATTGACTTCAGCGATGTGCCAAGGGATTTCCCAGAGGAGGTGCCATTTATTGTGATGAAATGTACATCAGAGATAGAAACTCGTGCCTTGGGAGTGCAGGTAACTCATTCTTCTATGCATACAACAGTTGCATTCCACATTTTATTCCTGTTTTAAGGTAAGAGCAGGAACAAAATTTCCATTCCCATTCCTAATACCAAGACGGAATTAACAGTCACCTATGCATTCTTTATATTAGTCCATTTCTGTGGAAGCATAAATTTCTTCAGAAATGAGAATGGCAAGCTGTTTAACAGGCTGGGAGCAAATGTGTCTGACTACACCTTTGTCTGCATATAAATAAGAATTTTACATATATGGTAATTACAAGTATTGCTAATGTTACATGCTGGTTTTTCATCCTGCTGTTAGCTCTGAAGTTCAGATTGAACAAGATGTATCTCCAGGTTTCTGAGCTGGCAGAAGTATATTTTCTATACTGAATTAACCATTTCTAGCATTTCAGTCTCTCTCCTCCACCTGCACCTCCGTTGTATTTCTGAATCAGATCGCTCTTCCGGTTGTCATTTGGACACCCTATGTACATGTGTTATTCATCGAATTGGCTTCCCCTGATTTGGTCTCTCATTGCCTCTCCTCAATGCAGGGAATATACCGCATTAGTGGGGCAAAAGCACGCATGGAGAGATTGTGCCAAGCCTTTGAGAATGGACGAAGGTTGGTGGAGCTGTCAGAACACTCACCCCATGACATCACTGGAGTCCTTAAACATTTCCTTAAGGAGGTAAGGAATAAAGCCAGAGAGCACCCTAAGCACCCCATTTCCCTACAGCTGAAAGTAATTTTCTGAGATGGGTATCTTTAGCTGTGGGAGTTTGCAAGGTACATTTTTCCAGGCACACACTGGTATTAAAAGACAGCTCACAATTATTCCTTCCCTTATAATAAACAACTTGCATTGCCCCCAGCTTTCACAATCTGAGGGTCTCATATATGCTGGTCTATAGCTAATTTGATTGACTGATTGACTCATAGATATCATATAAATTGCATTTTGCCTACTACTTTCCAGGTGTCCTCTTCCATTTTTGATTGTCCCTGGTTTTTTAAAAGCACAATCTCTTCTGTGGTTTGCATCAGAGAAGGATCTTCATTGGCAACTACTTACTATTTTTTACTTCCATTCCCATTTTACAAGACATTTTCAAAAATAAGGTTCTGATCTTGGCCTCTAGAGAACAAAGACCATTCACTGTGCCATACAATGACTGCTTAGGTTTTGCTCCTCAGTGTTCTCTTCAGCAGACTAAACATACTCTGTTCCTTTAACCATTTTGGATAGGACTTGGTTTCTTATCATTTTGGTAGCCATTCTCTGAACTCATTTCATGTGGACCTGGCAAAGGCAGTGGGACAATAACCTCCTGTGTCGTGGTGGGATTCAAAAATTTTTTACTACTGGTTCTGTGGGCGTGGCTTGGTGGGCGTGGCAGAGGAAGGATACTGTAAAATCTCCAGTCAGAGGTGATATTTGCCGATTCTCTGAACTACTCAAAATTTTCACTACCAGTTCTCCCAAACTAGTCAGAATCTGCTGAATACCACCTCTGCTCCTATGATCTGGACTGTTCATACATTTATCTATATAGCTGTCCATTTATATTGACTGTTTCCCAGTATGATTTGATTGCTTATTGTACCCTGTGACTATCATTAAGTGTCATACCTTATGATTCTTGATTCTTAACAAATGTATCTTTTCTTTTATGTATACTGAGAATATTTACACCAAGACAAATTCCTGTGTGTCCAATCACACTTGGCCAATAAAGAATTCTAGTCTAGTCTAGTCTGACTCTACAAATCTGGGCAGTCAACAAAAATATATCCTCAAATTCGATTCAGCTTTTTAGCAGCTGTATCATACTGTTGTTTCATGTTCTACTGGTGATTTACTAGAACATTCAGTTTCTTCTGACATGTACAGGTAGTCCTCAACTTACAACAGTTTGTTTAGTGACTGATCAAAGTTACAACGTTGCTAAAAATATAACTTATGACCGTTTTTCACAGTTATGACCTTTGCAGCATCCCTATGCTCACATGATCGAAATTCAGATGTTTGGCAACTAGTTCATATTTATGACGGTTGCAGTGTCCTGGGGTCATGTGATCCCCTTTTGTGACCTTCTGACAAGCAAAAGTCAAGGGGGAAGCCAGATTCACTTAACAACCAGGTTAATAATTTATTAACTGCAGTGATTTGCTTAACAACTGTGTCAAGAAAAGTTGTAAAATGGGGCTAAACTCACTTAACAAATTTTTCACTTAACAACATAACTGTTGGGCTCAATTGTGGTTGTAAGTCAAGGATTACCTGTAGTATCGTCAAATTAAGTCTCCCCTTTTTTATTCTTATATATTTCATTTCTTCTCCCCTCATGCAGACTTTACATTTCTCCCTGTTAATTTTCATTATATTTATTTCAGCCCACTGTTAAATTTCATCTTGTTTATTTCAGCTCAGTTATGCTGTAACCTGTCTTGAAGGTTTTTTTTTTATTTTTTCATTTCTTTTTAAAAGTTAGCTCCTTTTGTGCATGTGCATAACAGGGGTCTGAGTTTATAAAGGAAAGATGTAAAATTCGAGAATTTTTTGAAATGCACAGAATTCCATTGCTGCATAGAAGATAGCTCATGGTATATGGACACATCTTCCTTCAGGGGGATCATTAAAGTTCAACAGCTCAGTTTATCTTACATTCTCAACATTTGAACTCTTGTTTTGAAATATATGTGTTATGTTAGAACACTGAACACTGGGATAGAACTATTCTCTGAAACTGGGATAACATGGCAGGATCCAGTAATATTTGTGATCAAATTTAAACCCAAGGAGTCTGAACTAGTAAAATATTATGATGCATATTTTGCATTTTTTTTGCTACAGCTTTCCAGCCCTGTGCTTCCATTTAAACTTTATGAAGATTTCATGGCTTTCTCAAGAAATTTGCAGAAAAGTGGGGATAATTCTGAGACAGATCCCATCAAGGCCACCAAGGATTTGCTGAGCAAATTACCAGCAACAAATTATAATACTATAAGGCATCTTATTGCTCATCTGTACAGGTAATGAAAGAAATAGTGCTGAATATGCAGCTTTTGTCTTGTAGGACAAATTAGCTCTGTTAAATTTATCTGATCAGGGTATCATTTTTATTGCCAACAAATCGACTGTAACTATAATCAGTGAATTCTAATCATATCCTTTTAAAAAGTGGATGGAAGTTAAGAGTATGGGGCAGTGACTTGGAACTGAGCAAAAAACATTAAGTGGCACACAAGTATATGGAATTACATTAATGTAAAAGTATGAAAAAGGACACTTGGTAGAATGATGAGATGAAAGAGATTAAGAGTGAAAAAAATGTATATATGAGCACGATTGCTGCAGAACGTAAGAATAAGAGAAAGACTTCTTGTAGAAAGTATTGAAACTCTTTTACAAGTATAGAAATGCATGATCTCATTCTCAACCTGTAATTGGCCCACTACAAAGGCAATTTTCACATCATCTTTTATTGTAGTGGTATTGCCTCCTCCTCTTTAGTCAATTATTGCACCAAGCCCTTTGTTCTTGGCTGCTGGGGTATCCGCCTCCTTTTGAAGGGACTTTGCTGTCATAAATGGCTGAAACACTGCATCTTCGTCCTGCCTGTTTCCCTTTTAGTTGGAGTCATAGGAAGAATGATAAAAATATCATGTTTCCTTTCTCTTCCCCCCTCCCCCAACTGGTCCACAGCTGGATATGCTGAATGGGAAGATTCTGAATACAAAGAGAAACCTACTAAGGGGCTGATAAAAATGTCTATCAATGAAAGCCTACATCCTCAGGCCTACCCAAAGAAAGAAAACGCCCAGTGGTTGTTTTCCTAGCATAGGTGAGAAGAGTAAAGAATCTATCAATCAGGACTGGACAGGAGCATCTGCACAGCATCATTTTCAAAACTGAAGAAATGAAAAACAATGTCTTAAGTCAATTTCATTTTTAGCTGGTTTCTGCACAGAAGACAAGTAGCTTAAAGCAAACAGAGCAAGGAACGGTTAAAAGTAGAAGAGTATTTCAAAATGAAATACTTTTGATAGAAACATAAAGTTGTTTTGGAAGTGGATAATAACAACTTAAGAAGAAGCCTCTAGCATGGTGAATGGAATTAAGCATAAAAACAATGGAATTATTTTCAATGAAATTGAAAGCAGAATTTTTTTAGAGATTTAATAATACATTGCTGGAAAGAAGGATAATGATATGTCATCGGGTAGGACTGCAATAAATACTATGTTAGTGTCCAGACAAAAAAATAGAAAGGAAAGTCATAAATATTTTGAGAATAATGAAAATAATAAAGCAGCAAGTATTTTTTTCTTTAAATGTTTTTATCCCACATTTTATAAAGAACTCAAGGGAATGGGCATAACTAATATTCCTCCCTCCTCCTATGTTCCACAACAACCCAGTGAGATGAGGTGGGTTGAGAGAGAAGGATTGGTCCAAAATCAGCCAGCCAGCTTTCAGTTCTAAGGTGGAACTAGAACTCAGTCTCCTGGTTTCTAGCCTGGTGCCCTAACTACTAGACCAAACTGGCTATCTAGGTTTAGATAATATATTTGAGATATATTAAAATATTAATGTAATTTGTTTACACTGTGCAAACTGTATGAAGGCTGCGTCTGTGCCTAACAACTGGAAGAACATTATACTGTAATTCCCTTGTAAAAAAAGTAAAATTAGCAAACAGGTTTACTTGCATAAATGGAATGCTTTCTTTGGGAAGAAAGCCTTCAGAAATGGGACAGTAGATGTCAAGGAAGAGGGTCTTCCTGTAGGTTGATATTTTCCGGTGTATGAGTTTTCTTCTCAGGCTGACAATGGATTTGGAATTCACAAAGGAAGAAGGATGCTGATTACTTGGATGTATTTTATCTATGTACATGTTCTGGAATGTTCTGCCTCCTGTGCCAATTTGCCACTGCAGAAGAGGAGAAGATGGGAGAGTGTATGAAGTGTTATCAATGACAATAAAGATGGCACTAGGCTTGTCTTTGGGACAGAAGGCTTTGAAAGTGGGAAGCCCCAACCCATGACGGATCCCTGACAATCTTTTGAAAGAAGCATTTTTTTTCTGGAAGGTACAGAATTAAGAAAGCAGAGGGAAAAGTTAGAAGGCATTTTCCTTTCCGGCTGCATATGCCGTCTCTATCCAGCCCAAAACAACCAATAGCTGCAAGAAGATAATGCACATTATATTGTGTGCAGCCAGCAATTTGCCTATCTCGCTGCAAAGGTGGAATCAAAGGATTATTTTCAGGGTTAAACAGAAATCTCAGGAGTGAGAGGAAAACACAGTGATGTTTCTGTGTGTGCAAGAGCTTTGAATTACAGGGCCTTCCACCCATCTTTGAGTCTTCAGAAAACTAAATTAACATGAAATTTGCAGTCCCTCTTGCCAGTCCATATCTGCCTCTCTCATCTCTGCTCCCAGTTGTCTATGGAGATTCTCAGTCATCCAGGTCCTGGTTGTCCCAAAGGTGCTTTTTCAAGAGGCAACTAAACTTTGTTTTACTTTGAAGAAGTTTCGCTTCTCAACCAAGAAGCTTCCTCAGCTCTGAAGAAGCTTCTTGGATGAGAAGTGAAAATTCTTCAAAGTAAACAAGAATGTCCAGTTGCCTCTTGAAAGAGCACCTTTGGGTCTGCTCCTAGTTATTGTCGGTCACCTAATTTTCTTCTAAAGTGACAAAACCTAACAGATTTTTGACATCTTGAGACTGCCCTTGCACAGAGTTGGAATATGGAGGAAGATGTTACAGTACAGTTAAAAATGATATGATCATCCAGGACAAGGTGAAGACCACATCAAAACATGAGCTTTTCTGAGGATATGTTTCTGGCATGGTTAGGTAAAAGAGAAGGCCCAGTCATAATTGAAAACAAAACAAAAATATTTTTTGTTATTTTGGATGTATTACAGCAGAGGTAGAAATTAATGGATTTAACTTCCCAATGCAAACAATAGCATGGGAACACAGAATTGATTCTGGAGCCACCCAAAAATCATTGTGAAAGTTCTCATAGTCTGGTATAAACTCCTGGTATGAAGAAGAAGTTAGTAAAACAGAGGATGGGATTACTGAAATTCAGTACATAGCAAAAACCAGTAGGAAAGAAGAGATTCACAAACTGTATTGTCTGCACACTGATAGGTTGAAGTGAGTTGTTCCTTATTTATTATATAGGGGGAACATTCTTCCTTCAAGATGACAATTTGCCGAGATACTGCATTGGTTGACGTTTATGTTGCTACATTTTATTTCCGATCATTTCTGCACCTGCATAATTATTGATGTAAGATTATAAAATGGGAAATAGTTAATGGGTATGTAAAGAGGTGTGTGTGTGTGTGTGTGTGTGTGTGTGTGTGTGTGTATGCGTATGTATGCGTATATGTATGTATGTGTACATACATACCGACCTGACACACACTTTGGGATAGGATTTCTGGTAAGTGACTGGCATGGCAACTGCAATATCAGCTGGAAACATAGTTCAGAATCTACATGCCATTATGTTCTCCATTCAGGAAAAACTATTGTGCTCAAACTTTCCAACCTTTTCTAACCCTGTATTTTTCTTTTCAAGGGTGGCTGAAAGATATCAGGAGAACAAGATGTCCCCCAATAATCTGGGCATCATCTTTGGCCCTACTCTAATCCGCCCTCCCTGTAATAATGATGTGTCCATGTCATGCCTGGTGGATTCAGGATACCAGTCCCAGCTCGTTGAATTTCTTATCCTGAACTATGAAAAGATATTTGGGATGGATGATCTGCCTTCAGCTGGACTTTGTGACTGTGAAAGCTCTTTGAAACAGGCAAATACTAATGAAGTTCTTTCAAGCAACCAAAGACTTTCCAATGCATCTTTTGAGGTAGGAATCAGGGATGGCCTGGCCTTAAGTGAAACAAATGAGCCTCTTTGAGCAATAGACTGAGATCAATGGAAGATTGGATTCAAGCTACCCAACCTTGAGTGGCTATGGGCTTTTAGTCCTCTGGGTCCAGATGATATTTCATCTGACACTGGCCGTGTTGCATTCCCCCAGATTGAGCTGGTGTACAATTTAGGGTCCTCCTGGACTCATAGCTCCTGCTCTTTGCCCAGATTGGTCCAGTATGCCAACTGCACCCCTTTCTGGACCAGAAGATCTTGCACATGGTTGGCCATCCCTTGGCCATCTCCTGTTTGAATTACCGCAATGTGCTCCTAATGGGACTGCCCTTCAAGACCACCTGGAAACTTCAACTGGTCCAGAACGCAATAGTACGCATGGTAATGGGTGCCTCTGGGTTTGCACATGTAACACCTCTGTTGCTTGAGCTGCATTGACTTCCAGTTTCTTTCCAGGAGTAATTCACCTTTCAAGTCTATACAACATAGAGCCACATTACTGGGACCGCCTTTCCCTAAGGACATTAACCCATTTATATTATATTTATATTCCAAAGAGGCTATAAAAGGCTGTATAATTTAAGAATAATAACAATAATCAGCTGTTAATTGTTATTAGCAGTGGGAATATCATAGTTAGAGGAGATAAAGGGAACCTGTATAGGAATTGCACTTCATTTTACCCAGACAATAATCCTGTAATCTAGGTTGGAGTAAGAATGAGTTTCCATGGCTAAGTCACTGATCTAACCCCATAACCATTACACCAAATATAGATTCTCGGTATTAGCAGAACTAAAATGTCGAGTGGGTATTCTGCTATTTTTGCTTTCTCAAAATACATCTTTATTTTAATATTTCAAGGTACTATTAAAATTATCAAAATGGAAATAAAAATTTGAAATGCAATGGATGTTTCTCTTTAGAAAACTTGTAACAGTAAATTTTTCTTCAAAAAGTAGCAGAGATTTTACTTTAGAAAATAAAAATGTCTAATATCACCCTACCAATCTCACACACAGTTTTATTGGTACAGTTAGGATAAAATTGGTGGAGGAACTCAGTTCAACAGATAATGTACATAGCAATATTTTTTTCCAAACAGAGCTCTGCCTCCAAGCTATGTTTTGGTGAAGATGATTGTGGAAGTGAAGACAGTTCCTTCACTGAGGTCAAGCGGAAAGAGAGCATGGAGCAAACTGTCAACCCCGTAGGTAATTTTTCTTCTATAGCAAATGATTTTTTAAAAGAATATAAAGTCTGTGCTGTTGAGAAATCTCCATTCTACCCCAAATGATTAATTATCTAAAATATCATCTTCTTCAGAATGAGAAACAGCAGCATAAGGCAGTTCTGAAATTCTAATTAATTATGCCATCTAAACTGAGTTAATTAGGATGACATTGTCTTCCCCAGTGCAAGAGAGTTTTGAAAAGTGATAGCATTCTCCTAAAGGATGCACAGCACAAAATATCTTAATGCTGAAATTTATAAAGGTTTAAACTATGTTCTATGAATATCATGTATAGGTACAAAATGGAAAATGATCATATTTGCATATCCGATTGCAAAGCTGACTTGCTTTAATTTAAAACAATTCTATGTAGGCAAGGCCAAGGATCTTTATATTTCCCCCCAATTACAGCCCCCCCAAATTCTTTGTAGGAGAAGAACAGGTGGAGCTAGGAGGCAGAGTTAAGTGCATCATCAGTTTAGAATCCTTGTGTTCCCATGAGAGATCGAAGTCCAATCCCTCCTGAATTCTGTTGATCTTTATCTGGTTACAATTTAGCTGACCAGATTCTTGTGTATCGACTTGAATAAATCATCTATGCTGCAATTTTTCTAATAGTCCTGATTCTTTGTAACTGAGATTATTTGAAGTAAAACCATGGCATGTTTTCCTGAACTGTTTGATTAACTATTATGCAAAAGAGGATGCTGAGGATGGAACTTTTGGGTGGGTTCAGCTGGTCTCTTATGTTTTAGGATAGTATTAAATGTTATGAGTCTGAAATGCAGATACATTAATAAAAAATAAAATGGCTATAAAACATAGATGATTGATGGATTTGGTCCTCTTATGATATACCTATAACAGAGTTTGGGGCATATGCCAAAAAAAAAAAAACACCCCACTGCTGCCCTGATTCTAAGAAAACTGTGTTATCTTATAGCAGTCAAAATGTGTGGAGGGTAGACAACAAAGTGCTTCCTCAAAGAATCCAGCTAATCTTTCATTGCTTTTAGAAAAACACCATGTGCTTTTAAATTCATGGTCTGCTGGATGATACATGGAACAGATTGCCTTTCCTCATTCTTTATCAGATTCTTTTTTTTCCCTTCTCATTCAGAACTGAACAGGACAAATGACACAGAACTGCAGGACTTTATACTTGATCCAGAAGTTACTCTCAATCCGCAGTCCAGGGGACGCTTCAACCGGATGCCAGTGAAACATCCTCGCACTGTCATCCCCAAAGTTTCCAGTCTGCCCCTGCTGGCTGCTGTTCTGTCTAATTCAGAGGCAGTCAGTAACCGGTTGGAGACAAGTCCAAGTAGACGCAGTGCCTCACCTGATACCTCTGGAAAGCGTAAACATTTTGAGATCACACGAGAAACTGCTAGGATTGTCTCCAAGCTGCAGCCTCAAAATGGAACAGAAGATTATTATCAAGCTCAGCTTGGGGCAGCTCTCCAGGAAAAAATTCTGGATGCACTGGTGGAAAATAAGACTGAATCCAGGAGCTAAAATATTGCTTGAGAAATGAACTAGAAAAAAGACTAGAATCCCAGTTTTTGCAGATATTCTGATATGTATACATCACAAAACATCAGGGCTCTCTAGTGCAGGGGCCTCAAAACTTAGCAACTTTAAGACTTGTGAACTTCAACTCACAGAATTCCTCAGTCAGCTTTGAAGTCCACAAGTCTTAAAGTTGCCAAAGGTGGAGACCCCTGCTCTAGTGTATTTGGAGAACAAATAAACCAACCCTGGCTAAGTTGAGGAAGAATGAAGTATTTATATGATTGTTTCCGAAGAAAGGGGTGAACTAGAACTGAGCCACTGAGATAACTAGAAACTGTAAACCCCGTGAAGCGAACATTCAAACAGCGACTATTATTGCAAAGGCACTGTGGACAAGCAAAACATTCCCAGGGGAAAGTGATAGGAATTTTGCAGAAATGGACAGAGCCTTAGAAATAACTGATATACCTGTTCCCAGTGGCCCTATTTGTACAATATGTTAATACATGGTATGAGCGTTCAAGATGGTTCAGGGTTATGTTTGACAAGGATAATGTGACTGTGTTGAAACCACATGATGGAAGATATGATCAGATTATTATCAGAAAAATGGCATATATCCAGAAAGTTTAAAGTTATCAATATGACCACTAAAGAAAGTTAAATTCTATGTAAACTGTGCACCTCCACCCCCTCTTCGAAATGTTGTAGTGCTATTTCTCTAGCTTCTGAGCAACAACATGTTTAGGCATTATCAACCCTGGAAATGTACTTGTTTTTAAAAATGAAATTTATTTTTGGGAAGCTGAGTTCTGTATTAATTGTATGTATCTGCATTTTTTATTATCAGTTTGTAAAGAATAGTCTAAAAATAGTATTGATTAAAATGTGTAGTGGTTCTCTACTGAGAACTGCTAATATTAGGAGGAAAGCATGAACGAGTGTATATACGGAGGCAATGTATGTTTCTTGTAGAGAATACCTGGATAAGGAAATGGGGCAGGGCAGGTAGATGGTTGATATGACATTGCTGGAATATTTTCTTATGAACATGTTTACACCTATAAAGTTCTCTTTGTGTAGAGTTGCCAGCTGGACATTAGGCATGAATTTCTACAAGCAACTTCCCACTATATATATATATTTCTTAAATTCCATCAACCATCTCTCTTCAATTTTTGTATAACAAAATCGGTTGAACATGATTGAGTTCACACAGTGCATTAAATACTCTGGTGTGTTTTAATCTTGATTTGATTAGGAAGCTGTAATGCTTGGTTTACACATGATGCTAAAATCATGGTTTACAAACCACAAAGTGTGTTTATACATAATGAGTTTACAACATTATATGAAAATTGTAAAAGAAAGAGTTGGTAAGAGGACAGATTGGAGAAGCCATGGCAGCCTCAGTTCCCATATCGATAACAGATGTGTGCCTGATCATTATGAGGAATCTGCCACTAATTGAAACTTCTGATTCTATGTATATCCACTGAAATATGTGTGCGCCTGTATAATTTTGCTGGCAAACTTTTCTTACAGAGATGCTCAAATGCCCCATTCATAGAATTTGCCCTGCAGCTGTGATAAACTAGTGGGTTTGCTCTGATGAACTAGTGGGTTTTGAAGCCCGTTAATAGTTCCAGGAATCAATTTTCTCTTGTGACCACCCAGTAGCAACTATTCTAAATAATATTTTGCAGGCAAATGTATATCAATGCATGCCAATTAACACAAGTTCAGAATGTGTGCGAGTTGTCGGGAAACCATGTATTCGTTTTTGCAAATGAAGGGGGAACCACCTGATTATCAATTCAGGGAGTATTGGAAAAATCTGCATGCAGAATAGGTCATCCTCAACCTACACCAAAATGGAGCCTGTCCATTACGGTTGCAAGTACTGACAGTCATTAAGCAAGATGGCCCTGTTTAATGACCCCCGCTCACTGTTCTCCTTGATGCAGTTGTTTTTAACAAGTGGGTCATTAAGCAGAGGATAGGGTGCCTCAGGTGGGAGAGGCCCTGGGAATGCAAGCCCAGGCGCAACTGGCCTGGCCTCCAAAGGGTTCCCTCCCACCTACAGAGATACTCTGGTCTCCACTTCCCTGTTTTCCTCCTGCCAGGTCCCTTCAGGCCTTTCCATTCCCCCATTGGGCCCCCAGAAGGCTCCTCCACCCTCTCCCCAGTTGTGTATGTACCTATTGAAGGTCTCTGCAGCTCTGGTGGTTTCCTCAGTGCTGTGCAGACTGATGCCTTGGGGAAGTAGAGCAGAGCAGTCCGTCCCTTCTTCCAGAAGCTGATGCCATTTTGGGGTTAAGGACAAGGAACAGTGGCCATGCCGAAAATAGCAGTCACTTTTGCTGCCTTAAAGTGGCCTACACAGCACCGAGAAAAACTCTGGACCTTTCCAGTGCTGTGCAGATTGCGTTAGGGAAGCAGAATGCAGCAATTCATTCCTGGGCCCTGTGGCTGCCTCGTAGAAGTGGCTGCCATTTCAGCATGACCACAAGGAATTCTGGGCATGCTGAAAATGGCAGCAACTTCCAGGAGGCAGCCAGATAGCTCAGGGATGAATGGGCTGTCCTCCGTGTTGAACATGAGGTTTGGAGATCTTTAAAAGGCAAGTGTGTGATGGGTGACAGGTGAGTAGGATGCAGGCCTGTGGGGCACCAGCGGGGAAGGAGGGGAGGAAGCTGCTGCAGCATCCGTGCAGTGTGGTGTAAAGGCAGATGACTGCAGGGATGCTATAGCAACAGTAATTTCAAAAAGGGGTAGTAAGTCCCTGGGGGAGGTGTCTGTCATGACTTTCAACCATCACTAAGTGACCAGTCATTAAGTAAAATGGTGAAGAGTCAACCTGAGGTTTCTTTATCAGGCACAAAGACTAATCAATTATGCAGAGTCAAGGAAAATGGACATTTGCCACTTTATTTCTGAATTTTGGTTACAGAAATTTCAAAACAGCAATACAATGATTGGCTACAAATTTCTTATCATCATTAAAATAGCACATCTACAAGTAATGGTGTTCAGGGTGGAATAGCACATGCACAGGTGATGCTGTTCAACTATTTTTAGCATGACCTTTACTATTAGACCCCTGTCTGTCTCCCAGTCCAACCTAATAAATATCACATTGCCTTACTTTTCCAGCAAAGGGTCTTCTTGTAACAAGTTTCTAGCTACTGTTCTAACTGCATCCTGCAGAGCTAAATATAATTTCTTGCTTTGGTTTAGCAAAGCGTTTTGCAGCTTTCTCTTTTATGCTTCTGTGCAAACACGGTACAGTGAAGTGAGAGCAGTGTGGAAAGAAAAACAGAGGCTTCTGTAAAATGGGTACTTTTAAAGATGAAGTTTAAAAAGATGACATTTTAAAATATGATGTTTGAGATCCCAGAGATGAAGTTTTGGCTTTTACTCCCCAATTTTTGATGCTTTTGAGATACTTCAATAAGTATCGAATCTCATTAATGAGTTAATAGGGAAATTTCATCCTAGGAGTATTCTATCATTCTTGTATCCTCTCTGACTTTTCACTCCAGTAAGAGTGCCGCTTCCACTTTGTCTTGGCCCCAAATGGGGCACATCTCAGCAAAGCTGTGGCACTGCAGGAACTTACCACAGGTTGGCATTGGATGCAACAACAGACAAATAAAACTAACATTTTCAACTATTCAGAATTGGATAACCAAGAGTAAGACTTTCTCATAAGGTATGGAAGAGAAAGACTTGGCCAGTTCAGAGTTGGAGGCTTGATCATTAGCTGGACATTCCAATTGATCCTAGGTGTATGGTTGATCTGAGTCAAGATTTGGTTGGTTATAGCAAGAAAACGGGTACTACAATTTTAGTTTGAGATGGATCTGAGTAGCCTGGTCCAAGTAATTATGTCATTTGGGGGGGGAGGCACTTGATTACTTTTTGGGAGAAAAGTTCTGTTTAACAAACAATTGTCTAGGAGTATGACTTTTTTTTCATCAGTGGTGGCTTGCTTTCTTGACTCGTGAGAGTACAAGGAAATTTTTTCTTCTAGAGGTAGTCATTTAAACCAAAGGTCTTCAAACTTGGCAAGTTTAAGACTTATGGACTTCAACTCTCAGAATTCCTGAGTTAACAAGCCCGGAGGAGAAATTCTGGGAGTTGAAGTCCACAAGTCTTAAGGCTGTCAAGTTTGAAGACCCCTGATTTAAATTGAGTCTTTAGTCTTTCAAGTGGTTCTGCCTTTCACATGGATGACTTTTTTTAGGGGTGGGACTCTTTTTTTTCATATGTATGATGCACTTAAGGCTTGACTCTAAAGAACTTGAGAGAGATAAAGATCAGGAAAGGCTGGGAAGGTCTTTACTACTTCAATTGAAAAGATTCATCATTCCAGGAATTTAGAACTCAGTTCTGTGTGGATGGACAGGTTGGTCCAATGCTACTGACTGGTGTTATTAGACATCTCTGGAAGGAGACTGCTGCAACAGGTATTGCTCCTTCTAGTTGAGGACAATAGGCATATTTTGCACCGTAAGGTATGGCTTCTCACAAAAAACTCAAAGGGATCTCTCCCAGTCTTTTGCTTAGAGTGGCTTTACATGCAATTGGGCAATTAGCTGTGTCTGCAAGTAAGCTAAGTAGAGTTCTTGAGCTATTTCAGTTAAGTAATGTTTTTAATGGGCTCTTTAGCTCTTTCTACTTGACTGCAAAAAAAGGTAACAAAACAAATTCAATTTTGACTTTATTCTTAAAACTTACACAATCTTAGCTACAAAATGTGAGTTGTTATTATATTTGATTTTAGTTTGCAAAATTCCATATTTAGAAACAATTTCCTTAAGTAGGACTTTTATTACCTATTTTGTTGTGTCTCTTAAGGTATGTTCCTTTAAATGAACAAAAACTGTTTGTTTTCTCAGTGTTACTCTAACATGTTTATTCCATCATCACTCAGTTGCTTTTCTGTTCAACATATATAACTACACATCACTGGACTAACTGGGGAGAGGTCTTAAAGGGACAGGGCACGAGCTACTCAAATACTATTTAATTTACAGGTAGCTTCTCCTCTCACAGACTGGAGTTGGTTCTGACAGGAAAAGCTTTTTCATATCCTGAACAGGTATTAACTAGAAGCAACAAGTATTTAGTTTTTTGTTGTTTGTTTGTTTTCTTGACAGTTTCATAAAATCAATTTGTCAAAAATCGCTAGATTCCTTCGCCTCCTTTGGATGGGCTTTGAGTAGAGACTTTTTATCGACTTTAGGGTTGTTCTGTCAGGCAACACAGTCTTTTTCTCTTGTATTTCTCACTGACTATCCTGTGATTTGGTGCCTTCCTATTATTCAAGTGTCTCCCTTTTTAGTTCTTTTTGCCATTGATAAATCTTCTTGTTATATGTTTTACAATATTTCACAGCAACATCTTTAGGAAGGAGTGCAACTTTAAAAAGACTAGAAATTTATCATAGATGTTCTATCTCTGTGGTTATGATCAGTTTCTATGATCAGTTTCTACTTGAAGTCTGGGCAAATGTCAATTTTTTTCTGCTATCAATTTAAAAGGATTTGGTCTTTTACAGACACCACATTGATTTTCTCTTGGATTTTTTCATTCTTATTATAAATTTTGTTTTCTTAAAATTACATATACAATCTATTCCCTATTTCTTCAGCAACGCCCTCTTTCTCCCTCTGTACTATTTTGTATAATTTATATTGGAAACACATTTTTTCTTATTTATTTATACATCTTTCATAAACAATTCTTATTAACTGTGAGATGGTATCCCAGCTGCTTCTATATTTTCTTTTAATCTCATTGTTATCTGGACCTATAAACAGTAGACACAATGTATGAATGTTTGCCAATTCCTCTAGATCCATAAATATTCACGCACGTTGGATTATGGGTAAGGAAAAGGACTGTGAAGTTTATGCAGATTGTGCTGTCATTAGCATTATGTATATTTAAACAATACTAAGATTCCCCTCTGGTATGTGTGCATGTTATGCACAAATAATTCAGAATCAGTCTTCACCAGCATCCCAGCTAACTTCCCAGCAGGGGGAGTTCTGCTGCTGGGAATTTCAAATACCATTGATGTTAGGTTTCTTTAAGCTCCATCCTGTTTTTTTTGTTTTTTTTTAAAGAAATAGCAGATTCTCAGATAAGTAAACTAACATATTTATTATGTTAGGGTCATGAACCACAACCCAGCTTTCCTAACTTGAATGGGATGGGGGAGAATAGACAAGTATTTACTTCCTCCCACCGACTATTAGGCAAAACAAAGACTTTTAGCCCAAGCTTGCAGCCTGGGGTCTATAGTGTTTGAAAGAAACGGCCGTGGACCAGAGCCCATGCAGTTCTACAGATATGTGTTTTATTTCAAGCATTTGAATGGAAGATATTTAGACTACTTCCAGCGGGGGTTGAGATCCAGAGACAGAGTAAGTTTATGCTCCCTTCCCCCAGATAATCATGAATTACTACTGCTGGACCCTTATTATATGTGGTCTTCTCCTACTACAGTTTTTATCAAGAGGGGTGCTGTTGTTTGCAGATGGCAAATATCACTGCAGAAATAGCA